ACACCACTGGTCAAATTTAAGGTATTCCTTTTCATATTTTAGTTTCGATTTCTGCGGAAGCAAATTATCTACGGTACTGTTTGCTATGTCCCGCAATTCAGGTGGCGTGCAAGTTATGATTTCGTGCTGCTCTTCCATTTCTATTTCACAAAAATTGCAGTACCAAATGGCAATTCGCTATATGTGCGCAAAAATTGAAACTTCAAAATTTTCAATTTGAAAAAGCGAACCAGTGCTATCACTTAACATTTACAACTAATGTGAAGTAGTACAGAATTTTGAACTATTTTTAGTTTTTTACAATAGAAATCACGCGAAATAGAAAAAGTAGTATAAATAACTCGTTTCATAAGCCGTTTTATCGCACTTGTCCTTTGGAAAACTCGCCGCTACGCGGCTCGTTTTCCAAACTGGACACGTGCGATAAAACAGCTACTTATGAAACTTGTTCTTTAATATACTATTTTAACACGTAAAAGAACTAATCACAAAGTACGGGTTCGTTTTTTGGCCTCTTACACTTATGACATCTTTCCTCCGTCATCTTTGATGGGGACCACAATATGGCAAGCTTGCTAATTCCTATACGATTATTTTTGTTATAGACCCCAATCGAAAAATTCGCGGGGTTTATATTTTCACGCGTCGAAAGGAGATACAAGAGACAAGACGTAAACGAGATTATTAAATGTTATATCAAGTATTTTAAACTCGACAGAAGTTTCCCATAATGAACGTCTACATAAATTAAGATTACATGCACTTTACACTAATGCTTCTAAACGTTAAAGAAAATGTTTCGCTTAACACTTGATAATCTCAGACGCGTCGACTTCTGGTTATTTAATGATTCTGAAAGGAGTTCTATTGTATTAGAATCACACTGCATTTTTGCTTCCCTATTCATTGCAATTTTCTTCTCATATTATATTGGTACAACATTCTATCGATCACTAACGATAAATAACGAAACGGAGCATGTGCCATTAAAGCCACAAATAATGTCCTTCATGAAAACGTAATTTGTAAGTGTTATTAATACATGGTAGGTATACCCATACTATTGTAGTCGCACTGGAAATTCGATGCATTTATAAATTAGTGAAAATATTTAAAAAATGGCGGATTTTTTATACCTCATAAGACTAATGCAATTTCATAATACATCAGTAACTAGTTTCGACAGATGTACTTCATTTAAGTGTTATGAAAATTTTATATTGTACTATACCTTTATGACAGAATTACCAGTTTTTATGCCCAAATTATTGCATCGAGTCATTATTTAGTTTATACTGCAGTAGTTACATAAAATGAAATATTTGCTCCATAGGCATAGAAGCAGTGTAATAAAAAATGTGTAACAAGTTCATTTCTTCTTTGCATCATTCCGTATTTTACATTCAGTATGCCCTGTATATAAATTTCTACTTCTATGCGTTGGATTAGTTCCGCCAGATGGCAGGACCTTACAGCGCGATCCAAAATTTCACATGCTTTTTCTTTCCGATTCCGACTCTGATCGAACGAACAACTAAGCCGTTCTACGTGAGAAAAGAAAAACACGTGGGTAATCTTTGCCACCACTGTTAGTTAAAAACTTTGGCAATTCTACCCGTATTAATTGCGAGACAAGTACCTAGTCTGCAGCATTTTACCGTTCAGCTTTAACGTGAAACTTTTTTCTTCGAATTACGGATATACTGGAAGATGTGTAATTGAGGAACGCTTGGTATTTAATCCCTCTTAAATTTAGGGTCCTTGTTCGGTACCGAAATTCCTTGTTCGGGGGAAATATCTTGTTCGAGACCACCTGTTGATTGGGGGACAATTTTGGAGATTCATTATCAACCATAGACACCTAGGAGGTCGTGACCAACAACCTTATCTGAGGGAGATAAGAGCGGCCATTTTATGAAGACGAGGGAGAAACTCATTTAACTACATACTGTTTCGACATGATCGAGAATGCCTTTTTTTTGCTTGATCGTATATATTAATTTTTGTGTGGCTGCGACACTCCATCAGAGACACAGACATTTTTAGAGGGGTATCGAGATTTGAGCTTACCGCAAGCTTCGTAGGTCCTTCAGACATTTATTCATAATATATTCCGAACCCTGTGGTTTGGGCCTTTTTGTTCTCTTTTGATTGCAGAGATGAATGGTGCAAACAGAGCTCTCTTTGCTGCCTCACATCTGGAATATTACATAAGGTAAGCGTTATATTCTATTTGCCTTGTTGTTACCGAACTTGCGTTGGGATATTTTCATTACTAGTTGTGACCGGTAGTAACGTAACCATTTTGTAATTTATATGTGTGATTCATTTATTAATCTTAACGATCATTAAGGAACAGTAATTGGGGGCAATCATTTTTGAACTGGAGTATAATTATTGGGAATTAATTGGGGGTTTTTATGATTTGTGCAGTGTGTAATTTCACATATATATCTATATTATTTTGCAATTTATTTGAAAGCAACCAGCAATATAGAGCCGTTTGATTTGTATTTGTGGTTATTGTGCATCCTGTATCTTCCCAATTTTATGCAGGGTGAGTTGATAGTGTACATTAGAAATTGGGTGGCGCTCAACCATAACGCACGGAGATTGTCTTGCCCAGAACGAACTTTACTGCTTTGAACCTTCTCTTGCTTCCATATTTAAAAACACTGAGCTTAGCTGGCCGTTTATGCGGCGGGTTTTGTTAAAAGCAGCGCCAAGCCAGACCCACTGTTATAAATGCTTATGTAAGAGAATGAGGAACACTATTATAGTATATTAAAACATAAGTTGCGGAAGGCCATTTATTCTAAGTGTTAGAGTGCGTAGAATGTTTTCGGCTATTTTCTCTGTTGAGATTTGATAATTGCTATTTAACAATTTTCTCCCGTAGAAAGTTTGATCGTGGCTTTAGTATACGGACCGTGGATCGTAGCAGGGTGAAGGCAGCACTTTAGGGACCTTCTTAACGGGAACGGACAACAAACTATAAACAAACACAGTACAAGACAATGATACAAAAGAAAATAACATAACAATAGAAGAGGCAGCAAAACCCCGAAAAAGGAAAGTGAGCAGGATATGACGGAATAGTAGCGGAAATGCTGAAGGACATAGAAAAAGCAAGATAGAGAGAGGTGCCTCAAAATAGTTATTTACCCAAAATCGTCCTGAAACCTTCATTTTCATGCCTACTTTCTGTCAGGAAATGTTAGTTTCCATGACAGAGGCAGAGCAGACTACGTTTCCTGCCGCTTGTCACTTTACTGACCGCACCGTTACTTTACCGGAGATTTTCTACACAACGTTTCGTTCCGAAAAAGTGAAAAATCGCTATTGGCTGCACTTTGTTGTCCGTCCGTCAGTCACACATACTCCTTCTACACCAATGAACCGATTTGGGCAATAAAGGGCTGATTTGAAAGGGCTTGGTCCAAGCATACCGCGCATACCGATATTTTTTTGGTTTTGCGCATGCGCAGTGTCAAAAATTTGGATTAACGCATGTAAAATGCTAAATTTTTTATTTATGAAGATATTTAAATGGAACGTTGTATGTTTACATTTTACAACAAGCAATTTAGTGGACGGTATTATCTTTTTCAACGACAATTCAACTCATGTATAAAAAATCACATAAGCCGCAGTGTAATTGTCACTTTGACAGCGGCAAAAGTTACCTGCAACTTTTCCAGCGACAAATGCACTAGTGGTTTTTTCACTTATTCATTTTCGAACCAATAATCGCATTATCCTTACCCATATGACTAGTTTGACGTCTGTCAATAATTGATTAGTTTGGTGAATTTCTTGTTCGTTAAATTGTCCTGCCGAATTACACTCGAGGTTTGTATTTAAACCGAGGAAATTTGGGTTGTGGCAATTCAAATCTGTTTCCTTTTAGCATTGGACTCGAAAAACTGTCAACCTAAAAATGCTCCACCTGCGGTGTCGCATTTTTATTAGTTGACAGTTTTTCTCGTCTAATTGCTAGGCAACAGATTTTCATTACCTAAACAACCCAAATTTACTCGGTAAAATACAAACCTCTTGTGCAATTATAAGTGAAAATAGTTTTATTCACAAAGACGATGATTTTTATAAGCAAACGTCAAGTGACATTTCCATGGCAATCGTGAAATTACGAACACCCAGCCCACTTAATTAGACATGTATTCGAGTAGTATGACGTCAATATGATTCCAGTGTATTTCCTATTGTTAAATTATACTGCAGGTATAATAAAAAATACTATAAGATACACGTGTACCTATAATTGGTCTTTAAAGAACTTGCAACGTTAAAGGCACTCCGCTTCGCGTCTGCCATTAAACTCGTTGCGCGTGCTTTAAAGACCTGATTATACACTTGTATCTTAAGATACTATTTAAACTTGTTTTATTTGCGCTTGAACGACTAAATAAATAAGTACCTAGAACTAGATGATCAGAATTCTTTTCGCATCCAAAAAATTAAAAAAACAATTGAAATTGTGGAACTTTCGGATATATAGCTTCCACATTTTGAACCTGCGGTTTATTTGATAAGTGATGCTCGTCCTCGACCCCTTTAGCATTAAATTCCTTGTTGGCATACTTTACGCTCTATAGAAAATTATATGAGACTAACCTTAATAAATATTGGGATTTTAAGATAAAACAATTGGAAGCAAATACTTAGGGAATAGGTTTTAATCCATTTTTTATCGATACGATCATCATATGCACATACGGTAATTAATATTACGCACGCCGTTATCGAATGCGAAACATCCCAAAATTATTAATTTCGCAATCCAGTAGTTGTTTAGCTAATCGCTTCTACTTCACGATATCGCACGTCATTTCGCTAATCTCCAAAACACGATTGACTGAGCTGCCGTAATATTAGCAGGTAATTTAGAATTACCTGGTTATGGGAGGAAATTAATGTTATGTGCACGATTGAGCAAACACGATATTAAAGAAGGACGTCTATTCAGGTGCATTACTTACTCGAGTATTGTTTCTTTCAGCCTTTAATTCCGCTATTTCCTCCTCTCGTTCTAACAGTTGCTCTCTTGCCGAATTTAATTCTTTGGTAAGGGTTGCAAATTCCTGAAACAAAATTATTGTTACATTTCTCGCTTTTACATTATGGAAACGTTTAAGAATAATCAATCAAAAGCGAAATTGGCGAAAACGATTATTGTTCGCATCACATTGAAGAACAGAGGCCTTTTATTACACAATTGCTTACCGCAGTTTCAAAGAAGTTCTCGTAATTTATAGTTCCCATTACAATTCGACGCCTGATTTTTCAACAAAAGACAGACATTATAGAGTGCACATTGGTTTTATTACCTTCATTAAGTAAAGTTCCTCCGATGTACCGTAATAGAAAGAGCAAGAGCGTCCTATGAAGTTAGCAATTTAAAATAATTTTGCCAGTTGACTTCAAAAATAAGTAATAAACGTGTAACGGAAGAAGTGCCTAACAAAACTAATTTCAATTATAATGCAAAGCGAAGTTGTTAATATATTTAACTCCTCTATTTTAAAACAAATGTGGTCATTGCAGGCCGTAAGTATCTTGCGTAAATATACTGTTTTAGAGGGTTAACACAAACTTATTTGATCTTTCTTTTCTGATTCTTGATAATAAATTCTATTATTTTTGTCATAAACTTTTGTTTTTCAAATGCACCACCCTCTGAATTACTCCACAGTTTAAATGACAATACAATCTTTAGTTGGAATGTATATCACGCGAGAATATCATGTTTAAAAAAATTTGGTATCCAATAGGTATATACCGCAGATGTACCTTTTTGTCTTATCTGAGATTTAAGAAAAGCAGAAACAAACTTTTCATGGCCAATAAATTATATGTTAATGACACAAGCAATAAACAGATAACCATACTAACTTTGCTACAATTGAGCGCCATTATTTAATGGTCAGGATGTTCTTCAATACAAAACTTTTTCATGAAAAAAAAATCGAACCAACGCATTTAATTTTTTTGAGAAAATTAATCATTTCTGTCGGAATGTCGAAAAAATCCCTCAAGCGGCGATATGTGAAACTAACAAAACTTCAAATATTATAATATTTGTAGCCGAAGAATAACTCTTTTCAATTAACCCGAGTTTGTTAAAATCGGCTCAGTCGTTTCGAAGATACAGGGTGTTCTTTACGGAAACCTTTGAATACCCCCCACCACTTCATTTTTAGAGATACAGGAAAAATTGTCAAACAAAAAAGGTTCAGATTATCGTCGTCTTCAAAGACCGGATATTTTTTTGTTAGGTTAATATAGCGGAATTCACAGAAACATCACTTTTTTTGATTTCAGATTGCAGTTACGCCCCCTAGCGGTCATTTCAGAAACTTAAAAATATTTTCCAGGTTTTTCTCGTGGCCGTTTTAGTAATGAATTTTTTTACCGCAAGCCTCTACGATGGACAGGTTCCCAGGTACAAGTACCTCGCATTCTTATTTGGCCACCCTGTACATCACAGTAATACCTATGTTTCGATGCGGCGATGAAATTGGTGAATAAATATGGATTTCGCTCAACCAATTTAACCAAAAGTATGACAAGAAGACTACAAAAACCTAGTTCCTGTGGAACAAGTTAATGTGTTTTTTCAGTTTCACCGATGAAATTGGCGAGTAAATTAAAGGTTTTGCTCTACCAACTTAATCAACAAGAGTGTATGACAGGAAGAATACAACAAAATTGGTAAATAAATAATTAAAAATTTTGCCCAAATATGGGCATCCTCTCGAAGGGATTAGAAAAAAGGATCTCTTGTTATATTTTACCAAACGAGATTGCGGAATATTTTGGAAATGTGGAGTTCTCCAAAGCAATGGAAATGCACATCAAGAAATTTCCAGAAAGCTTTAGAATTCTTTCATAATTTATCGCATTAATTTATGATATCTAATTAAGAGAATATGGCAAACCATGCGTCATTTCTTAATGATTATAGATCTGTGTAAAATATAAATAAATATAAATAAAAAATATCGAATGATGGTGATTGATATCCTAAAAAGGAACCGCAATGCTAGTACTTTAATTAAAATTGATTTAAATTTATTTAAAATGCTAAATAATGATTAAAATCAGACAAGACAAGGCGAGTAATCGTCATTCATCACAATTTTTAACACCATTTACTTGAAGATGGTCTCATTTATTTATTGATATTCCACTTTTGTTTCGAATATCAGCTTTCAAATTTCGACTAGACATTCTTTTGCGAAGAAGCCAATAAATATTGGTAAAACGTCAATCAAACATGAATTGAAAGGTTAAAAACATGAAGTTTTAATGCCCGCATCTACTACAGTCAAACTTTCTCGTATAAAGGCTATACTAAAATCAAACCACTTCCTTCTACATTCAACTTTAACCATTAAGCTGTACGGCATTGTCAGTGTAATAATTGTAAATGCAAAGTTAAAACATGTCAACGCATTTCGCATTTTGTTGCTCTCGATTTCGACAATAAATAACTACACATCGGCGATTCTGTGAATGAGAACGGTATCTCCTAGCGAATCCAATTTTGTGTGTTAAAGAAAATAACTACAATTAATCTTTAATTCGTAATCCGACAAAACCCTCGATCTCTCAAAACAAATTACGAGCCTTACTTCGGTCCATAATCCACTTCAATCTGAGCTTAGAAAGCCAAACAAAAACTCCTAAACTAACACAAACTCATCTCATCTCATATTTCTAAAACTAAGATAATAAAGTGCACAATCCATCAGTCAGATGTCCAATAAGGATATCAACAAAAAGCCCTCTCGTTAATTATTCCTATTCAAATTGACATTCTTTCTTTTTAATCATATATTTGGAAGTTGCCTGGAATAGAAAAGTGATTTCTAAGCTAGGCCACAATCGAATTGGGTCAATTTTTTTATTGCAATACACCGAGGAATATGTCCCAACTCGATATGAAATTCTTAAAGAGACAAATCAATAAAAATAAACTCAAATTTTTATTCCGAATGCGGTTTCATTTCTACATTAATCACAATCGCGTTACCGATGTAAATAAAGTACGTCCCCTGTTGCTTCATTTAATTGTTCCCCAGATTTCTTTTTGTTTTCAAATTCAAATTTCGGAAATGAAAAAAGTTCTACACTTAGAAAAAGGAATTATTCCTTACGATTTGATTAAACTTTACCGAACGTTTAGATTTAGAGATATTAAGTAATGTCGCCCAAAGAATAATTGGAATTTTAAGAGAGAACCAATATTACTCAATCAATGTTAATTGATAAAAATAATAGATTTGATTACATTTCAAACATGAGAAGTGCCACGCCAAACTTTAAAATCTTGCATACCATCACACCTCTTGTGAGAAATCAAATAAAAACAATCCTATTTAAGATATGGACAAAATGTATAAGTATCAAGCAAATGCAAAAAAAACGCATCATAGCTAAATCGGTGGCCATGAATATTATAGTTTGTGCTGTAATGTAAATTTAATTACTTTCTTTATTTATCAAAAGCGCATCGAAATTGGAACTGACTCGAAAGACAATTCTGTTTGCATATATCGTGTGTCCCAGGTTGAACGCACCATAGGCAAACAGAGCTAAGGTATTTTTTCGCGAAGGATCCACGAGGCCTTTGATATGTATTTTTAACTTTGACATTTTTTTTCTCAGTTTTTTTGTAATAAGTACAACCTGGCACAATTTTTGTAGATCGTACACAGAAAAATAAAGTCTTTCGAATAACTTAATAAAAATTTTAGGTGGCTAATTGAAAAAAGTTCGATGCCGTTGGGGCGCTCCAAAATTTTTTTCCGGCTCGTGATTTTTCGTTTCAGTACGCCTAATACACATATCCAAATTGTAAACAAAATCCGTCGAGCCGTTACCTCGGAAAATTACCAACGTACGAACGTACTCACATAGGTACATACAGACGGAAAAAATTTATTCTTTAAAAGTTGCTTAAAATTATTTAAAACTACGACACTTGATAAAATTTTATCATGTCCAGAAAAAAGTGATCGCAATAGCCACCTAGCTCGCACTAGGAAGCTAAAAATGGTTGATCGCTATTAACAGATGGAAGCATAGTAAAAAAAGAGGCTATCGGTAAAAGATGCGATCATAAAATTTCACGCGGGAATTATCTCGACTCTTGTCATTACAAAATAATAGGTAATAATTTGAAACTCTTATAGAAACACGTTGACATTTTTCTTTTTTTTTCTTTTATACTTTCTTATGGTAAACAGATTACTAAATTTTTTTTTATTTATTTTTTTTTTAAATTATAATTAATGTGTCTCAACATCGAAGGTCATTGACACAAGAACAATCAAGTATTAGTGTACGTTTACAATGAACGTATACGTAAGAAATACATAAAACGTAAAAATTTCGCAGTTTTTTTTTTTCGTAATTTTTACGTACGTATATGTAAGCGATATGTAAGTCTTGCGCATAGTCGCAAAGGTTGAAAATGTTTTAAAGTTATATCATACTACTTGTAGTATGAATCTTTGATTTATTGTAAACAGCGAAGTAAATTTACGGAAACGATACGGATATGTACGAGTTACGGTGTATGAAATATTTACGTATACGTTCATTGTAAACGCACACTTAGCCATACGTTTATAAACTTAACCTAAGAGCTATACGCTAAATTTTGTCATAGATATTGATACTTTGGAGGAACTTGGTCACATGGTGGAGTTGGTCGGTAGAGTTTAGACTTTCATTTAAGCTGTTCTTCAGTGTGTGGAAGCGTCGAGTATTTGCATGATGTTCGCAATCGATAAGGATATGTTTTATAGTCAGTGGATTGTTGCAGTGTGCACAGACGGGTGGAGGATCGGAGGTTAAGAGATGCATGTGAGTCAATCTTGTGTGTCCGATTCGCAATCTTCGAATGATAATTTTACTTTTCCTGGACATGGGGGCAGCTTTAAATGGCTTTACTGTTGGATTGAAATAATCGAAATAGAACCATTGTCGTAAATTTCAGACACACGATATCACTTAAGACACGGTAAAATAAAAAAGAAAGTTAATAAATCTCGTCGTCATTACCAGATGTCGAACGCAATTTATATTTCGATACTCGGATACTCCTAATTCGTTGCTCTGAGGAGAATATGAAGACGATCCGAAAAGAAGTTATGCCGTGTAAACAATGAACCAATTCTAAGCTCGCTGTTGATACAACACAGTGGATTTGATTTCCGTTCGAATTTACTCGTTCGTTTTGTTGTTTCCACTTATAATGGAAAAACAGCCA